CCGGGGCTTGTGCGCTGGGGGGGGGGGGGGGGGGAGATGCAAAATAATTAGGTCAACAGGTTACCAAACAGCTGGATCACACACAGAAAGGAGATCTCGTGGTGACATACAGTGGGTCCAGGGGAACCAGAGGCTCCGGGGATGTCGGAGGAGCAGGTGCAGGTGTAGGCCGGGGCGGGACAGCTCTCCTCATCTCTCTGACACACAGACAGACATTCACGACAAAGACATTAAGCCAGCTGTTGCAGTCACAAGTACGTTTACTACGCTCTCCTGAAGTATTTCTCACTATTGTATAACCACTGGGAAAGAAAAGGGATGAAAGCAATATGATAGTGTAGGAAGGAAGTTAGGGTACAGGCTAATGTTTTAGGTATGAGTCAGTGTTCAGGTATATAATCAGTTGTTTTTTTTCCACAATGGCTAAATTGTGATTCAAACCTCACATTTGAGAAGCACACTACAATGGGGAGCAAAGCAAACTGCCCAGTGACCCTGTGGTTCCTCCAGAGCGTCAGGCTCGGTGAAACATGAAGCATCCAACGGGAAGAGTAAGGGGCTCCTACGTAAATCCTCATTTGGACAAACAGCCTTTCTCTATTCAGGGAATCAACACAAGGAATTCCTTACCTTCAGGACTCCAACTGGCTCCTGACTGAAATCATGTAAAACTGAAACAGTTTTTGAAGAGGTTTCAGTCATGTAGCCATGAATGATCTGGTGTTTCTGCTTTTACATTTTCTTGTTGAGTTCTCAGTTGTGTACATATTCATTGTTGAGTTTGTGTTTTGCATTGAATAAATAGAAATTGGTTCAAACACAGCTTCAGTTCTCAATATGCCTATACCACGATGGAGCTGACTAAATGTTAATATGAATGGTAACAGACTGACCACCCCGGGCAGGTCACAGCAGGTGTCCTCTGAAGCCCACGAGGTGTTGCACACGATCTCAAAGGACTGCAGCTGGAACTGGAAACGATGAAGAACACAGGGGACAGTAAGGGCACAGGACAGAAGAAAGACTA